TTTTTAAATGATGCAATTTATCAGGAAACAAAATATTCTCCTTCATCCCTACTTGCAAATCTACCTTCTGTCTAATCACTTCACAAATTAACTTTGAGCTCGTTTAGCTTCTGAATCTGCTTACGTTATGTTATACAATTTCATATCCCAACTCAGCTATGTAACAGGTATTCTGAACTTGACTTGCCATTCAAAGAAAAGCATCCTATTTTCAGAAAGCATGATGAAATAGTTTTAAAATGTTGCCTATTACCGTAAGATATTAAGTATTTCCATGGAAATTCTGTATGAGTTCTTTGTATTATTCAAAAGTGAAACACAAAAATTCATGTTATAATTGGAAGGATAATATGTCATAAAATACCAATAATGAAGCAAATATGAGATCATTTAGTCTTTGATTTTTAAAAAAAAATTACTTGTATAATAATACAGCTAACAAATTTTTAATTTCTCATTAATAGAATTTACCTTAAAATGTTGTCTACTTGGTTTCACAATTCCTAACAAATTGATCTTGAATACCATGAATTAACATTTTCCTCTCATCAGTAATGTGCCTTACCTATCATTCCAATAGACTATGTTCTTCACAAACAAATACAGTAAATTCATTACTTAAAGTTTACAAAAAATTAGAGATTATGCAAAGGGATAACTATAACTATTGACTCTGATATCTAAAAGTATATAACACTGATCTCTTTAGTGTTTGTTGTTAACAACTGAAACCCTATGCTACTATCTTGAAGGTTTGCAGTCTATCTTCCTTCTTCCTGTGTTGGGTCTAATTTCCAAACTGTCTCACTCTTCCCAACTACTCACCATCCCTCTAAATACAAGTAAAAAGAAGTAGTGTCTTATACTATTTTCAAAAGTTTAATCATTGAATAAAATATCTCACAATTTACAGCTCTGGAGACTTGCATACGGTTATGTTCTTGAATTTTGCTAGCCCAATTTCTATTGAAGAGCTTACAGAGAAACAAGAAACCTATAATACCAAGTAATATTAGCCTGTACATAACAGGTTATGTCTTGGAATCTACAGCTCACCCTAACTGATCTTACTGCTTTAAAAAGGACAACCATAATATCCTTTATACAGTTGGTCAAAAAGTTGATAACATGGCTTTTTAAATGAAGTGATAAAACAAACATATGTTGTATTATAATATCAAGATTAAATATAGATCTAATTTTAAAAGTCTGCAATGCATCAGTTAACCTCTAAACATTATCTCTAGAACTGTCTCCGAGTCTGGAGGTGGGGAAGCAGAAACACGAGCATTGAATGAACCCCACCATTCTAATGTAGAACAGCAGCTTTAAAACATTTTGGCCATGATCTACAGTAAAAAATGTATTTCACATCGTGAGCATGGAGTACACCTGCATACATGCATGTGTACATACACACATAAGTAAAACCAATATTCTATGTTTTGCTCTGGTATTTTCTACTCTATTCTATTATGATTCTTTTTATTAATGCTGACTGTTACCATCTAATGGCACAATGTTTAAAGCACTTAGCTACTAATTGAAAAGTCAACAGTTCCAACCCACCAGTGCCTCCACCTCCAAGAAGACCAGGTGATCTGCTCCCCTGTGATGGTACTACTCTGTCCTAGGTATCACCTAGGTGTCTCTAGGTGTCAGAATCAACAACACTTTCTCTCTCAATTGTTTCTGAAAGATGAAAGGAGAGAGCGGGAGTGAGTAGCAGATAAGAGAGTGGGTAAGGGAAATCTTGCTCCACAAGGCCATGTCTGAAGATACCTGGTTTTCACAAAGTGGGCAGTAGACAGGTGCTACTGACATCCAATGGGTAAAAGCCAGGGATTCTGCTAAACATTCTACAATACACTGCTGTTGTTGTTAAGTGTCGTGTTAAGTCAGTTCCGACTCATAATGATCCTGTTTAGAATTTGTAAGGAAAGGCAGATAGGTTTGAACCACAGACTTGTAACTATCAATCCACTGCTTATAAAACAGCACCACACTTGGACTCCTATAATGCACTGTTGCCATTGTTATTGTTATTGTTCAATGCCACTGAGCAGGTTCTGACACGTAGGTACTCTGGGGTTTCAAGGAGTGGAAGGTGGGTTTGAATGGCCAAACTTTCAGGTTAGCAATTCAGTGCTTATCCTACAGCGACAGTATACACCAGATAATTATCCAATTATCTGGCCAAGATGTCAATCATGCTGAATTTAAGAAACAAGCATTGGAAACACTATTTTCTGATTTACAGATTTATAGACAAGTAAACAGATATAAAGTCGTTAAATAGAAAGGACAAGGTCATGCAAGTGGTGAGTGATACAGCCAGGGTTTATGCCTCTTTGACTCCAAAACTCATGCTTTGCAATTCAATCTCCCTATTGCTGCTGTGTTGTTAAGTGCCTTTCGACTGGTTCCAACTCAGTGCAACCCTGTATAGGATTTTCAAGGCTATGTTTATCTTTTTGGAAGCAGAAAGCCTCATCTTCCTCACCAAATCTCCCTGTTAGCATTACACAAATAATGGCTAGCTACGCATGGATTGTAATTATTAGCATCATTTCATCAGAACATAGATGAAATGGCATCTATCATAAGTTTGGATAAAATTTGTATGTTTAAATTATGAAATAGATCTAAAATGACAAATAAGAGAAAAAGTCTCCAAAACACTGAAAAAACTGACTAGTCAAAAAGACATCAGAGAAACAAATCAGCAAAAAAAAAAAAAAAGAATAAGAAGTAGCATGAACTAAGCAAATGACTAATGGAATTCTATTATTTAAAGAGCAAAAAAGACCCTAACATGTAGAAGTCATAATATTGCTTACAAGGACCTGGAAAGAATCTTTCTGCAATGATAATGCTGTCTGATACTATTTACTTATATAATGTTGGTTACAACTTCACATTTGTAACTTAACCTAAATGTGCTTTGCACATTTTTGAAAGATTTTATATAAGAATGAATAGAACCAGAAAAGTAGAGATTAAAAGAATTCTGAGTTTTAAACTACATCTTTTGAGGTTCCTTAGCCTACAGAAATTAAAGCAAGGGCAATACTATGTTTTCAAAGTTGGCTGGTGCACAACAAAATGATGCAGCCACAGTGAATGCACAGGGGAAAATGTGTTAACTATCACTAATCACATTTTCATCATTATTAGGAAAAATTTTCAAACATGAACTACTACGGATACCAGTGAATCATAATATTGGATACACTTAAAGGTGCTTATTTTCAAATTAGACTGATATTTTCCCACAAAGTAATCAAAAATGATATTATAATAATGAAATGTGAAGATATGGAACAACCCAATCTCCTTCTTATCCTACTGAAGTCTCTCAACAGATATAAATTTTTCTCAATGAATTCCACTTTCATGAGTATTATCAGACAGCAAAAGAATATTCTATTTAGATTTGTTTGTCCAAACTGAATGAAACTGTGAGTGTCCACAGGCATCACACGTTGGTAGAAATTATAATCTATGAAAAATATTATTAGATAGATAATAAAGAGTCTCTACTATGATTTCAAGCTAGAAGAGTATATATATGAATGAATGACACGCAATTCCTTTCTATATTCAATAAATACTTTCAATTTCTGCGTAGTATTATATAGATAAGAAAATGTGATTATACTTTAATTTATTCACATACTTTCATTTCAGATTTAATATTTGAATGTATTCATATCTTTTTATTTGTTTCAGAGCTTTAAGAATACTTTATAATCCTGAAACAAAGGATAGGTCCTTAGAAGGATACTAAAATATAAAAAGTTTTCAAACATTGCATTGATGCATTTGTTTTGTGTTTTGCTTTATTTAACATATTTATGTGGTAAAAACGAAGGTATTTCGCAAAGTATAACAACTACCTCCTCGATAGATTCTAAACCAAAGAAAAGTAGTCAATAGATATCAAACATGAAATATATTTGGAACAAACGACAGTTGAATAGAGTAAAATCCTGACTATAATAGAAAAGCTCTTATAAATCAATACAAGAAACACTAATACCCAATAGGAACATGGACAGAGGGAATAAAATAGTTGAACATATAATTTATAGAAAAAGATATTAAACAGCCAAAAACATATAAAACATTCAGGTTGACAATCAAATTCAAGCTAAACTGACAAAGAGAAAGTAGTTGTTTGTGACCTAGTCAAATAGCAAAGATTTGGTGCACTGAAATTAAAAACTCAAGCATATTTGACAGGAATAGAAAGTGTCAGAACCTTTCTTGAAAGCAATTTCATAATCTGCATTCAAAGCCTGAAAGAGTCCCAAGTATGGGTATATATTTGTGAAATAATCAGAGGTATGGGCAAAAAAAACTATGTAGACAGATAACCATTATAATATTATTGATACTAGCAGTTAGAAGCAACCGTGATGTCTCCAAATCACAGGATACTTAGTTCATGGTACATCCTTATAATAGAATATTAGTGTAGTTATTTAAAACATATTTCTATAGCACATCAAATGGTATGGAATTAATTAAAAACAAGGATACAAAATTATACATACATATATATAATTGATACCAATTTTATGAATATGTAAAATATACATGCATAGAGAAAATGGGAAGAAAATTTAACAAAATATTGACAACGGTTACTGGGAATTATGGATAAATTGCACTTCATTTTTCATAGTTGGAGGAATTTTTCAGATGTTCTATGTAAGTCACAAAAACAAATGATACTTTATAAACTATAGTTAATAGGTATTTTTTAAATGTCATCAAGTGATGCAATAAAAAATCAGAAATACTATGCAAAAAACCTCACAGTTTAAAAAATCAGTAGAATTTTCTTGCATATGAACAATAGAGGATAATCACTTTTTAATAACTTGAAAATTCTTAACATGAACAAGACCATTAAGAGACTTGTAAAATTAAGGTAGTAAGAGTTAACTATTAAATGTTTACTCAGAAATAAAATGTTTGACTCATGTGCTTACCTTTTTCACTTACACTCTCACTTTCAATCTCAACATCATCACAGCTTGTATATTCTGGCGTGGAAGCTAATTCCTCCTCTGAACTGCTCAATGAAACCTGGCGCATTTTACCTCCTTTCTTTGATTTATGAGGCTTTGGTGGTGGAGGTCTTACTGACTCTGACTGGTCTGAACTGAGAGAATCGTTCCTTAACATGGTTTCCATTTTTTCCCGTTTCGTTTTCCTTACAGCCGAGCTAGGGTCTAAGTGGTGTTGTTTCCTTAATGAGTCAGTGCGCCTCATGTCTGGTCTATCGATAGGTATAGGACTCCTCCGGGGGGTAGGAGGACTATGGTTTGTGGTCCTTTGTTGATAAGAACCTGGTCCCTGAGCCTCTCGTGTTCTTTCCACTGAATAAGATCGCTGATTTTCCATGGCAGCTCTCCGTTCGGATATAGATCTTTGCCTTGATGGTCGCTCCATCCTTAGCATAGAAATCCTAGAATCTTCCAATTCAGCATTTGCCAGAGAAACATCACTATGTCTTCTCTCATGCCGTGCTCGGGACACTTCAGCATGGATACGCATTTGTTCTTCGTAGGGTTGGGGCTTTACAGGATAACGGGCCAAATTTGGATCACTTCGGTAGCGTGCCTGGTACTCCTCCTCTCTCATTTGTCTTTCATATTCATCTCTGCTTTCCACATCCTCCTCCTCATCTTCAATATATTCTTGGGAATGCCGGTGACTTCTCCTGTTGGAGTCCCTATAACTTACATGATCAGATTCTTCATAAAATTGAGATTCATGTTGAGATCGCCTATCAGCATAATCTGATGGAGATCTAGGCATTGCGCTATCTGAAGTAGCATACTGTGAGTACTCCTCTCTTTCTTCCCTTTGGTCGTATCTTCTGTTCTGATCTCTGGACACTGATGGACTTCTTTTCCTAGGTAACCAAAGGAAAAGAGAGATGAGAAGAACAATCTCTCAACAAGTTCACGTTTTATTGAATCGCAAGTAGGCTGTTGGATAAGTTCAAATTTAAGTCCTTTCTTTTTTTCTGATTTCATTACAAAGACATGTCATAACAAAAGTCTTATTAGTATTCATTTTATTCCGTTCAAATAGTCAGAGGTTAGTACATATTTGACACACTATATATGAAACATACTGCTCTGAAATGAAATAATCAATATCATATTCAGCTGCTGAAAAATAACCCTCATTCTAACTTCCTTGTGTGGCTTGCTACATATCAGCTATCCCGACTGATATTCAGTAGTTTGGAATATTCCTCCTTGCAGTCTCTCTTTTCCTGACATCTGACTACGAAAGTTACTTGAAAATGTAGTGGATCCAAACGGATTTGTCTCAAGAATTTAATGCTTTCTTATTAAAACTAAGTACTAGCTCCTAAAATTAATCATTTTCACTTAGAATCTGCATAGCTTATTCTCAACTTTGGTTCATCTCATTTTTGAGTCCTGGTACAGAGCTAGCTGTAAGATAATCATTGAATTGCTAGCCAAAAGGTCTGGAGTTCACACCCACCAGCCACTCCTCGTAAGCCTTATATCTGGTCGCTATGAATCAGAACCAGCTCAAGGGTACCTAACAACAATAACAACAAGTTCATTTTATCACTATGTCCCTAATCCTTCTTTACTGTTCTAAGTTGAGATAAGCAATTTCAGGGAATATCATTTTCATTTGGGGGATGACAAAGTGATTTTTCTCATCACCACTACATTAGAAGTCAGAAACGACTACTATTTTTATTCCATCTTCATTAAGGTTAAGACCAGCTCCGTGACATTTCTCTACTCATTCTCAACATCTGACTCCTCATATTTCCTTCCAGTTTCAGAAGAAGAGGTAACTTCTTAAACTTTCAACATATCTCAGTAACACAGGGGTAACTTGTAACTGGACCTTACAACCAACTCCTAGCCATAGGAAACAATAGGAATGGACCTCTGAAGATGACAGAAAGGGAACAGAATCACTGCTATCCAGATTTTGCCAGGAGACAATAAGAGAATGGGATCAGATAAAGTTTTAAAGATGACCAATATTAGACAGCCCAGTTGTGAATTTCGTAGACAATATATTTTTGCCCCAAAGCAGGAATAGAGAAAGAACATGATGAAATTACACAACATAAAACATCAACACTTTCTTCCAAAGTTTCTGTTAACCCCATACCTGGGAAACAGTCTGTCAATGTATCAATCAGGATTCAATACTGAAAACACAATACACTCTAAGTTTCTCAAGTAGGGAGGGTTGCAATACAGGCAATATCAGCTACACAACTGTTAGAAATGGGTAGGAGAATGAAGGCCAGCAAAGTTAATGCAGCTGATCTCAGCCTGCAGAAGCAAAGGCAAGGATACTCAAAATGGTCAATTGAAAGGTGCTTGAGCCTCAAGTATCTCAGCTGCCTATAGCGTCAGGGAGATCAATCAACAGAAGCTTTCCCCGGAGACACTAGAACTTTCACATCTGTATACAACTGCTGCTCCACAATATGGCTTCTCTTTCTCTTCCATCTTCCAAATCTTACATAAGAGCATTTAGTAGCCTCTAAGCTGGAACCATAAAGGGAAAAGAATATTGCAATAAATAAATAAACGGGACTGGCTCCCTGAATATTTTAGGATTATATAGTGGATGTAATTTATTTTCTCTTTTTAACATTTAAAGCTATATAAAAATGTGCTGCTTAACACAAATATTTTTTGGTTATAAGTGTTACATAAAACCACTGACTCCTACTGTTGAAAATGTACAATTAAAGGAGGGCACTCAAAAGCAACATAACACTACCAACCTACACAACATTTTAAATATATAGGTTATAGGGGCAGGCTTCAAAAAGCTCATGGGAAAAATTTTATCTTTTCATTCCATTTTTCCATGAACTTTTGAAACTCCCTCATATGTATACACATATGCATGTTATACATCACTTATTTTATTTTTGTCATTATTTTTTGAATATGACAGAAAACAAATACTAGAGCATGATAGTGGAGTATCATGTAAAGAACACTACAATTAAGCTATCTGCTGTTTTAGTTCAAGTTTTGCTATAATCAGTTATTTGAAACTACTGAGGAGCCCTAGTGTGGCACTACAGGAAAATGCACTGGACCACACGGTGAGTGTGAACACAAGGTCGGTGGTTCAGATCCACCAGCCACTCCTTGGAAACCCTAAATAGGGTCACTATGAGTCAATACTAACAACAATACAAGGTCATTTACTCTTTGAGAGTCTATACTTTCAAGTAAGAGGTATAGATTACCTACATTAAGTTATATTATTTTAACAAACATTTTTAGGTAAGAACTACATGCCACCGCTATAACACAAACCATTGTTATTGTTGTTAAGTGCCCTCAAGTTGATTCCAACTCATAGCAACCCTGTATAGGGTTTCCAAGGACCAGCTGGTGGGTTTGAACAACAAACCTTGTAGTTTTAACAGTCCAATACTTATTGTAAAGGCCACACCAGCGTTCTGTAATACCGACTTCTTGTTAAGTGCCACTACAGGATAATTCACTGGACCACAAGGTCGGGTTGAACTGAATGGGCACTGGTTCACTAACACTCAAACGTACTTAGAAATCGCAAGTGGATGTTTGGTGATAGAAATTAATCTCTAAAATGTGGAATTTAAGTACATATAAGAAAGCAAACTGAGGGAGGAATAGGGTGTTCTGGAGGCCATTCATTCCACAAATGCCCTTTTACCCACTGCAGTTCCTTCCCAGGTAATCTTACTCTATTTCTAAGTAGGAATGTCTTATTAGCCTGTAAAATGAGGAGAGGGAACTTGGATCTAAACAGTATAGTATTCAGTAAGTACTCGGTAAACATCTGTTTGAATAAGTGAACTGATTATTTTCCTTAGATTATTTCTATTTTCAAATACATTAGCTTATTAAATAGTCCATTTCTACCCACACATACCTACTCCCATGGTAAAACGTATTATTTCCATTAACTGGATGGCTCTATTTTTATTATTGGAGTCCTGGTGTGGTACTGTGGGATAATGCACTGGACTGCAAGGTCGGTGGTTCAAATTCACCAGCTGGTCCGTGGAAACCCTACACAGGGTCATTATGAGTCAGAACCAACTCAACGGTACTTAACAACAAACTTTTATTACTAGTGTTATTTATAGGTTAATTTGGCTTTTGTAGTTGGATTTCAGAATCTACTCTTCATAAAATGATTTCTTTGGGAAAATGTATTTTGAGCGTCACTTGACAACTTAGCTTTTTGAACAGAACCTCACTGTTAATTACGAATTTCCAATAATATATTTAATATCATGTTGGGTAGGTCTTATGTTAAAAAGCAAAACAACAAAAAAGGAAAACTTCATTTACACTCTGAGCTATAATATGATTTTTTGAATGTAAGCATGGTTTAAATCACAAGAATGTAATGAGTATTTATAACAAGAGTTGAAACCAGCTAGACGGCACCTAACTATTATAGAATTCAGGCACATTGGTAGCAAAATGAATTAAGTATTGGGCTGCTAACCGCAAGGTCAGCAATTCAAACGCACCAGCTGCTCACTGAAGAAAAATGAGTCTCTCTACTCCGGTAACTCCTGTAAAGGTTTACAGTCCCAGAAACCCTAAGGAGCAGTTCTATTCTGTCCTGTGTTGTTGTTTTTGTTGCTAAATGCCGTAGAGTTGGTTCTGACTCATAGTGACTCTGTATATGGTTTTCAAGGAGTAGATGGTGAGTTTGAACCACCGATCTTGTGATTCAAACTGACGTGTCAGTCCAGTGCTTTATCCCACAGCGCCACACCAGTTCTGTAGGGTCTTACTATGAGTAGGAATCAACTGGAAGACAACAGAATTATAGAACTCAATTCCAAAGCAAAGGCTATACCAGTCTATGGTGTTGGTTTGGATCTTTAAAAATTATTATTATAGAATTCAAGGAGCTCTGATGGCATAGTGCTTAAGCACAAAGCTACTAACTGAAGGGTCTGTAGTTGGGAACCCACAAGTCACTCCATGGGGGAAAGATGTGGTCATCTGCTTCCTTAAAGATTACAACCTTGAAAACACTTTAGGATAGTTCTACTGGGTTTTATGCAGTAGTTGTGAGTTAGAATCCACTGGAAGACAATAAGGTTCTAAAATTCAGTTCCAGAGTCATGGAGGTTGTATGTCATCAAGTTGGTTCAGACTCATAGCAATCCAGGTGGTAAACCTAAAAGTTGCAGAATACCTCATCTTTCTCCAGCAGAGTGGCTGGTAGAATTGAACAACAAACCTTGTGCTTAGCAGCCCAAATTACAACCCACTATACTACTAGGGATCCTTCATTTCCAAAGTAAAGAGTATAATATAGCCATAAAGGCGATAACACTGGCTATCTTTGGTCTGTGAAAAATCTTTACAACTATTAAGAAATAGTTTTTAGTAAGCTATTTCAATATCTTTTTAAATCAAACCTTAGGTAAATTGCAGTTAATATGAAATCCAGCAATGAATTTGTCCTAGAGATTATAAAATGTGCCTGAAGCAGGAGAATCATAATGTAGATGCTGATTTGTACAGGATTTAAGTAAAATAGAATAATAACCATGATTTCTGAAGTTGAAGTGACTATTGTCACTGTTGCTCTAACACGGACCTTGGTTTTATGGATTTTTTTTCCTTTAATGTACTTTAAGATATTGTTAGAAAAAGGCAAGATAATATTCTAAGAATAATAATGTGCTCTTATTAAACAATGAAGAATTTGCTGTCAATTATTCTAAAAAGTTAAAATATTTTGTTAAAAAAAAATTCTTGCCAAATATCATGCATGAATTATCTCATGTATAAATTAAAAAATCGGTTGTGGTCAAGTGAATTCTGACTCATAGCGACCTTGTAGGTTGGAAGAGAACTGCCCTAC